CAAATTACCTTACATTTTTCGTTATCAGCACTTTTGGTATCCTAAACCTACACACAATAGACTTCCACACGAATGATCTAAGCTTGGGTTCTGAGATGATTGCCAAGGGTTCCGCTTCTACCCACTTGGTGAAGTACTCCACTGCTATAATAATGAATTTTAGTTGACCTCTTGCCTAATGGAAAGGTCCAAGGATGTCAACTCTCCATTGCTCAAAAGGGGCAGCACATGTGATGTAAGTTAGTTCTTCAGCGTGAGTATGTATGATATTGCCAAACCTCTTGAACTTATCACACCTCCTTACATAATCCGATGCATCATTCTTAATGTTAGGCCAATAATACCCATACCTTATGAGCTTGTAGGCAAGTGCCTGAGCTCCTTGATGATTCCCATATACACCTTTGTGAACCTCAGTTAGGGCTTGGAGGGACTCAGAGGGTTTGAAACATCTGAGGTAGGGTAGTGTAAAACTCTTGCGAAATAAGACTCGGAGGGTTTGAGACACCTTTGTGAACCTCTGTTAGGGCTTTATGTACCTTGATGCTCTAGATTTAATGTTTCTGGCTTCTCGGGAGTCAGATGGTAGGTTCCCGCTATTTAGGTACTCCAATATTGGATACATCCAAGAAAGCTTATGATCAATGTCAATGATGCTTGGCTTCTAATTTATACTAGAATCTATCAACATCTTGATGTGTACCGTTCTGTCCAGTCCATCTATCCCCACGAACATAAGTCTTGATAATGCGTCGGCCTTCACATTGTCAGCTTTAGCAATTTTAATGATTGATTATGCCCAAAGAATAATGCGGTAGTTGTAGTGCAGTTTTAGGGTGTCGTATCCACAGAGAGATGGAAAAATATTTAAAGAAGTTCAATAACTTATGGTTCTTGTGATTTGGATGAAAAGAATTTGTTTATTGAATTGAAATGTAAATGTCACCGGATATAATGATGGAATTTAAGTCAATATGTAAGATAGTGAAGCGTCGGAATTCCCTCAACTGAATTGGATCAATCAACA